AGCTTCAAACATGTTTTGGACAAGCATATTACCGTATTACCGAATTTTTCGCTCCATAAGATGCACCTGACCATAAGACGCACCTAGGTTTTAGAGGCAGAATACAGGAAAAAAAAAATTCTGAACTAATGGACTGCAGACATAGTACAGGAGATGACCAGAGATTGCGGACATAGTAGAGGAGATGACCAGAGACTGCAGACAGTATAGGGATGACCAGAGACTGCGGACAGTACAGGGATGACCAGAGACTGTGGACAGTACAGAGACTGCGGACAGTACAGGGATGACCAGAGACTGCGGGACAGTACAGGTACAGGGATGACCAGAGACTGCAGACAGTACAGGAGATGACTGCTGACCTTTGGGGAGGGACCCTTTGGGGGAGGGAGCGGGTACCTGAATTTGACAGGTACCCGCTCTTACTTCCGCGGAGTTGTTCTTTGATCTTACCTGTTCCTCTATCCAGCTGCACACTGTCTACCCAGCTTCAGTAGTGTGGGCGCTCTGCGGACAGCTGGATGCCCAGTGTGCATGCGCGAGAAGCGCTGCGCTTTGTTATTGGTTCGGCGGCTTCTCGGATCTGTCATGTGTCCCAGGTACCGCCGTACCATTCACAAAGAGCACCGCTTCTTGCGCATGCGCACTTGGGACCCGGCTATCATGCACACTACAGAAGCCGGGAAGACAGCACGCCTCTGGATAGAGGAACAGGTAAGGTCCCACTGCAGAGCTGAGCGGCCGGCCCGGGATTCTGACACGGCGGCGGTGAAAATACTGGACCGGCTGCTCCATATTCGCTCCATAAGACGCACTGACATTTTCCCCCCTTTTTTGGGGGGAAAAAAGTGCGTCTTATGGAGCGAAAAATACGGTATACAAAAAAGCTAACAAAAAAAAAAAAGAAGCAAAACCAAAAAAACACAAACAAGAACACAAACAACCCCCCCCCCCCCAAAAAAAAAACCCCCATAAAAACACGCACACACAGAAAAAATGGGCAGACCCGGGGGACCTCTCAGTCTTTTTTTGATGTCACTTTTCTACATTTCTATGTATACCCACACCTATTCTCGGAGAAAAAGCAAGCCTTGAATATAGGTTTAACTACACCAAAATTGTTATCTGTCCCCATGTTAGAATTTGATTGTACAATATTAATTGTAAAATATAGTGCAATGTCCTAACTGAATAGTTATACATTTAATAGTTCAGTTGGGTGGCCAATTTTGGACTGACAGTACTGTGCAAGTCATCATTCCTGACTATCTTCCAGTTCTGGTGTTTTCTCTTCCACTGTGATATACAGGAGATCACAGACAACTAATACAAAGACTGATTTTTGTACTTCACTAACAAAAAAAAATACTCTTAAGGATTCTTAATAAATATATATAATTGGATTAAATGATGAGCCAACTTTTATCATCTGCCTTGAGTTAAGCTTTAATGAATTACAGATTAATTACAGGTATAGCAGCTGTTATTCAGAAAGCTTAGTATGCCCAAAAGGGTAATAAAATCATTTCTCCTCGGGAAAAATATTGCCAAGAGACCTGATCACCAGTCTTCCCTTTTATACGACAATTTAGGGAGCGCAGAACTGTGGGGACCAGCATGGAAGAAAGAAAAAGACATTACAGTAGAATGGTAATCATATATAAAGAATGGTGGAAAGTGTTCTTGTTTCACAAACAATAAGTTGCCAGCTGTCATTTTTCTAGTCTATGTTATAGAATGAAATAAAGAGCCTGGCTGATTATTATGAACAACTATATACCAGTTTTCTTCCATTGTTTGAACACTTTAGCTCCAAGTACCAGTTTCCATCACAAAGAATCAAGCATATATCATTGTGTATTTTATTGTTTGCTTAAATTATATTTTTCAAATCAGCTGTGCTGTGCATAATTGCACATTATGGGTTCATCTACACATGCAGCCAGGGGGCAGCAAAAGTAGTTTGAGACAAGGTTTTACCGCCCCCAACGTCTTAACTAAAAAAAGATAGGCAGCCACTCAGGGCTGTATACATGCTGCAGTCACAGAAAAAATGAAATCCCTGTCATGTTCAAGCTAAAGGGCCCAAGCCATAATCACCCTTCAATTATCATAGTTGGACTACAGTGGTTTAGTCTTTTCATAGTTAAAACTGGCAATAAGCCACCTGTCAAACAACTGCTTGTCAAATACCCTCTAAAAAACTGGCAATAAGCCACCTGTCAAACAACTGCTTGTCAAATACCCTCTAAAAAGACGCTGTAGAAAAAGGAAGAGATAGCTTGGCCAACGCACACCTCACCCGGCTCAAGTGGTTAGCATGGTAAAAGCAGCCTCAGCTCGATTCATCCGGGCCATGCCCCCAACATGTTTCACCCTGCCCCCATTGGATCCCTTTTCAGAGGGACTGCAAGAGCTGCTGCACATGTGCACATGCCACAATGTTTCCATTTCCTTTTGCCCCCCTTAAGCATCCTACTTCCCCAAATTGTTATAATAACCTAGATGCCCAGAGGCCCACTGCATTATTCAGATTATTTCTTCTTGATCCAATGACTATGTGAGCACAGTTCAGTCCCATTATGGGGTTGGTAGAAACATAGATGGAAACTTTCTGAGAACGTTTTAATTTTTAAGCCAGACGGGGTGTGATATAGAATACCATGGGCTCTTCTCTTTGATTAAAGCACAGTTGATAAAGTTGTTAAATTGCAAATTAAAAATTGGTAAAACATTTTGTAGGAATCCTGCCATAAGATGTTGTGTCCCTACAGTAAATGCTGATTCTTACATGTGCGGTGCGGATCGAAGCTCAGATTTCACAGCTAGTTGATGCAGTTCAGCTGTTCAGGTCAGGCTTAGATCAGGTTCAGGACAGGTTTAGATCAGTTTCAGGTCAGGATTTTATCCTGTTCACAACTGATGACATGTGCGTTTAAGGAATGGTTCCCATAGAAGTCAATAATCTGTGTTCCGCAGCTGAACCGGACCACACTGCTCAGAAATCAGAGTGGACTCTTTTTCAATTTGCACTGAATCCACGCTGCCAGTGCACTAGATATATGTGAACAGGCACCAAAGGAAGCAATGTTATTTAACATGCCATGTGGATTGGATGCGGTTCAAACTGCATCAAATCTGCATTTATGTGAATAGGCACTAAATAAATTTAGTTTGTTTTTCTGGTAGGCTGTCACTACCCTGTGCATCCGTTTACCTTTTTTGGGCTCTGTGGAGCTTCCCTAAGCTCAGTTGGTTGTTGCTTCTGCCTCTTCCTGTGAAAGAGGTTCCAGTAATCAGAGTAAGAAAGATGACCACTGAGTTATGATTATGTATCTGACCTAGACAATCTTTGAGGTCCTGGTTCAGAGGTATGGTTAGGGAGTTGATAAATATTTGGGTCAACTTTTTTTTTGTTATGTACCATCAGGGATTTTGCCTGGAGAGAATCTATGTTTCAATTGACTTTCTACTATGGCCTTGCCTCAACCCGGGGCATGTCCTAGTGGTCCAAGGACTTCAGAAAACTTCTGGAGAGGATATCTGGAGGACAGTGAGCTGGAAAATGATCTAGTTGTTGGAAAGTGTCACAGAGGAGTTGGGTAGAAGCTACGGTCTGGACATTGTAAGAATTCATAGTCCACCAATTACCATATTTGTGACTGCTAATAGAAGCTCGAGAGCTAGACTGATTAGAGAGAAATCCACTGCAACTAAGAAAAGTCTGTGACTGCTCTTACAGCATCATAGATAGGTCTGGTTGTTCTCACAGGGCCAGCATTTACCAAGAGACTGTTCTTAAAGGGTCCACTGCTACTTCAGAATACCTGTCCTATTTTTGTGCTTTAGCCAACTGAATGTCATTAAGTTTGGGTTACATCTACTTTAAAGCAGATCTCCTGCAATAACTAACCAAAAATGAATAGTCTATTCCAATGTCCCTCTACTGTAGTTATACTACATGTAAAGTCCCAGTCCAGCAAGCAGTAATTAGGTGGGGTGGCTGAGAGATGAACAGTCTGAGTCTGAGTGTCCAGGTGAAGGGGAAGAAAAGGTGTGGATAGACCTAGGCCAGGGGACAGCAGGGAAGCAAGTTCATAGACAGGCAAGAGTTCCATCAAGATGGTAACTTCAGATGGGTATTCACAGCTATCCAAGAAGATGTGACCTCGACACAAATTCACTTTACGGACATTGTTCAAATAAGATCTTTTCTTCCGGGATCCCAGCTGGGCAATTAAACTCCTTTCCAGACAACTGCCTTTTGTGTCAGGTGAGTTTCCTGATAACACAGATGTGTGGGAAGGCTGATTTTATTTATCTATTTCTTGTATTATCTAGCACTTTGATTGTCCTCATACCCGTGAGCAAAAGTACAGATAGGAGAGGGTGATTTAATAAGACTTGACTAAATTATTCTGTAGGGTTTGAACATTTACATTACACAGACAAGATAGTAGGGTTGCTTTAAAACATTTTGATTGATTTAATTTGTCCAGTATGGGCTTTGACTGACTCCCTGACATTCCCACAATCCAAAAGCAATGGCTTCCATCCAGTCTGGAACTAGTGTGTTTAGGGCTAGTTTCATACCGCTTCCATTGCATTTAGTACAGGTTGATGAATGCTTAATGCCCTCAAATTGATGCATTATTTAATTTTTTTTAACATATAGCACTGCTTTGTGTTCTTTTCCCCCTAGGTTTACATTGATGGACTCTGCAAGCTGCATTTTGTATGGGCACAGCAGCTCATTCATCTGAATGGGCTGCCCTGCCTCCTGAAACACAGAAAAAAAGGTCCCTGCACCATTTTTAGAATTGCAGCCCGCATGGTTAACCGCAAGTGCAGTGCGGTTCCTAGTGCAGGAACGATGTCTAGTGGATTAGGATTAATGGCACAGCACACATGCGTTTTTTCTGTGCTGGTGGTTGCAGCTGCGCACCGGCAGTGGAAACCACCTACATTGGTGTGACCTTAACCTTAAAGTGTTACTAAACCCAGGACCTTGTATTCACTATATCTGGTCTCCCACAGTACACAGAACATGGAAATGCAATTATTTTAGTAAATATAAACTGCTAAATACCTTGATGAGAACATCAGCAGTTAGAGCAGTCTTGCAACTTCTATCAGTGTTCAGCTGAGCTCTGGTCAAAGCAAAAAGGAAGGGAAGATTGGAGTGTATCCAGGTGTCAGATCACTCCCAAAAAAGTAATGTGCTAGTGCCACGTCCTTGGTATACCAGTCCAAAAAAGGGGAGAAAAAAAAAAAAGGGGGAAAGGAATGCAAATGGACTTTAAAGACACATATTAGTAAAATCATTTGTACTTTATTATGACAATTAACAATTGACAATTTAAAAGAAATCATTGTACAATGTCCCCGCGGTCAATGTCCCACAATCCACCATGTTACATGGAACAAGACTAGTGATAACGCATACAGTAACCACCAGGAAGGTCCTATAGGGGGGTGAGAGACATTAAGCCGTTGGAAGAATGGCCCAACATGTTTCGCGACAGCAATCGCTTCTTCTTGGGTTTTAGTAGTAATATCCAGAAAAGATATACATATGTTGAATATACCAAATTACAATATGTAAACACAGAAAGGGTCATACAACAATATATGACTTACATATAATATTGATATGCACCATGCAGTGGTAAACCCTCCAATCATAAAGGGCAGGCCTCCTCTACATTCCCACAAGGCGAAGGGCCATCCAGGTGGCCAGATATGGGGGCACGGTAATGGCCGACAGTCCAGAGCCCCAAAGGTCTAGACCAACCAGTAAGGAAGAAAGGAAAAAGTATATGCTAAAGTTCAAGCCAAGGAGTACAAAAATATATACGTATATAAACTACAAGAATTTCCTTGCATCAGGCCATACCAGTGATAGTAATGCTGATTAACTGAGTGTTACCTCGAATAGGTATTGTTGTGACAAAGATCAAAATTTATTGCATGAAAAAGGCCTTTTTCTCAGCCTAAGCTGAAGATGTAGAAAGGAAAGGGGGGTATACCCCCTAGTGTCCAAGAATGGAAAAAACAGGAAAATATCACAGTAGGACAGGCAGAGGTACTCCCTATAATATATATATGATGCTTGTTCAAAAAAAGGGGGGGCTTCCCCAAATTAACCCATAAGATTATGGTAACCTACCGAACTACGAAAAGATGAGTCCCAGTCACAGTGGTATAGCTCGAAAAGTACACCTGGGCCAGCCCATCAAAATGTTAGGGGATACTGAAAAGTAGGCCCAGCCTTCGACTGGAAGGCAGGTCTGGGAACATAAGCAAAGATAGGAGGAGAAAAATTATTATCTCATTGGTTACTTATGTAGGGATAAAATCATCCTGATGCTTCAGAATGGAATATCTTACCAATGTTAAAAAATGTCAGTGCTTAGTCAATGGAATGAGCACAAATTTTCCAGTGGGGAAGAGAACGTAACCACAAGAAAAGGGAAGGAGTGGCCACCTTTGCATCGAGGCACATATACCCAGTAACCTACAGGGCAACCAACCCTGGAAAGAATGGCACTGAATGGCCAGGAACCGCAGCCTATATAGCGCCCCAGGCGCAGCACGTCCACATCATACGGTGCACAGGGAGGGACAAAAGGATCCCAGCCATGCCGCAGAAGTCCACCCCTAAGGGGCAAAGGACACCGCGGCCACCCGGCCGCACATCAGGCCCAATAAAGAACAGCCCCCCACGCCACAGGAACAACAAAGGAGCAATTGCAGGTCCGGCCTCATACAAATAACCTCAGTTTTAAATTTAGATGTAGAATATAACAAGGTATTCCTATCCTGAATCAGAGCTCTATTACATGCTTTGCATAAGAGTGTTCTACTATATCTATGTATTAATAGAATTTTTAACAATTTAGCTTAATATTTAAAATCTTGTAAATATGTACAGTTCCGCCGCAAGTGGATATATTGTGCAAAAGGAATGCTTCTGACTAGTGCAGGGGGATGAGAACTTTTAGCGTGTTGCCAGCAGTTTCCTTACGGAACAGTGTAGTGGCAATGCATCCCGTTGTGTCTCCAAAATTTGTAAATCCAAAAATGCAGTGATATTTTTGTGCCAATTCATGGTAAAAGTCAAATTAAACGAGTTCTTATTAAGTAACACCATGAATTCGTTCAACATCTTAACAGTACCTGTCCAGATGACAAATATATTGTCAATATACCTGAACCAGCATAACGCATGGTCCAGGTATTTGACAAGAGTGCCATCACAAAAACTGCAGTGCTCCCAGCCTCCAAGATATAGGTTGGCATAGGTTGGGGCACAGCAAGTACCCATAGCCACTCCCTGTTTTTGAAGATAGTACAAGTCCATAAATGTAAAGCAATTGTGAATCAGTATATAATACATTAGATCCACAGTAAAGTTACCTAGTGACCACTGAGTACGGTCCTGTTCCTTTAGGAAGGACCATACTAACATCAATCCCACGTGCATATGATATACTTGAGTACAAAGCTTCAACATCTATGGTAACCAATATGGCATCCGAAGGTATAGAAAGACCATCCACATGTTTAAATAAGTCAAGGGTATCCTTAACATAGGAAGGATTACGTATAACATGGGGCATCAAGAAAACATCCACAAACTTGCTAGCATGCTCCGTTAAGGAGCCTATTCCAGAGACAATGGGTCTCCCTGATGGAGTAGATGGATTTTTATGGATTTTTGGTAAAGAGTACAAAGTAGCTTCTCTGGGGTGTGAAATATTAAAAATTGTAAGTGTCCTTGTCAATGAGGCCCTCGAGGAAGGCCCCATTGATAAGGTCCTTAAATTCCACAGAAAATTGATGTATCATCCACACTGGGATACGTTTGTACCATTGGGAGTTATTTAAAATGGCAAGGCACATACTGTATGTTCATATTGATTTGTAGACATAACAACAATATTCCCTCCTTTGTCAGATGGTTTAATAACCAAACTGGTTCTATTTTTAAGATGCATCAAAGTTTTCTTCTGTGTGGGAGTAATGTTGGTATCTAAAGTTGTAGGGATTAGGTGTTTGACATCATTGATAGTAGCCATCAAGAATGTCCAAATACATGGATTAGTTGTAAGTTCAGGGAACTTAGTAGACTTCGGTTTCAATTGTTTAGAAGTAGGACCATGATCAGGACAGGTGGTACTAGATGTTGGATTATCTGGTTCACTTTCATTAAGCAATAACATCAAGTCTTGAAGGATTCTAAAATCCTGCATGGTGAAACTTTTCATACATTCCATAAGATCCTTTTCAAGTTTGTTTCTAATACAATCCGTATCAAAGATATATCTGTAAGTGAGTTTCCTCGCGAACAGATATAAATCTTTGATAGTTTCATACTTGTCAAATCTAGCAGTAGGACAAAAGCTCAAACCCATATTTAGGACAGCCAATTCATGTTTAGAAAGATGTTCAGTGGTCAAATTGATTACGTTTAATTTGTTGTCATTGGCATGTTATTATTATTATTATTATTATTATTATACAGGATTTATATAGCGCCAACAGTTTGCGCAGCACTTTACAATATAATGGGAGACAGTACAATTACAATACAATTCAGTACAGAAGGAATAGGAGGGCCCTGCTCGTGGAGCTTACAATCTAAAGGAAGGGGGAGGTGATACAAAAGGTGATAGCTGCGGGGGATGATCTGGCGGAGGTGATTCAAGTACAGTTCTTAGGTGGAGGTGGGGTAGGCTTCCCTGAAGTTTTCAAAGATCGCCTAAAGGCAGACAGGGTGGGGGCTGACCAAACATGCTGTGGTAGGGAGTTCCAGAGGATGGGAGAGGCTCTGGAGAAGTCCTGGAGGCGAGCGTGGGAGGAGGTGATGAGGGAGCTAGAGAGGAGGATATCATGGGAGGAGCGGAGTGGGCGATTTGGGCGGTATCTGTGGATGAGGTTGGTGATGTAGCTAGGGGCAGTGTTGTGGATGGCTTTGTAAGCTGTGGTTAGTATTTTGAATTTTATATGTTGGGTTAGTGGAAGCCAGTGGAGGGATTGGCAGAGAGGGGCAGCAGTCGTTGATCGGTGGTAAGGTGTATGAGTCTAGCAGCAGCATTCATAATAGACTGAACGGGGGATAGCCTGGGTAACTGTAGACCAGTGAGGAGGGAGTTGCAGTAATCGAGGCCGGATATAACCAAGGCGTGGATAAGTTGTTTTCTGGTGTCATGGTCAGGAAGGGGCGGATTTTGGAAATGTTCCGGAGGTTGAGGCGCAGGATTTAGCCAGTGAGTGGATGTGGGGCCCAAAGGAAAGGTCAGAGTCTAGGATTACACCTAGCACCCTGGCATGAGGGGAGGGACCAATGGTTGTGCTGTTAATCTTAATGGTAAAGTCGTGAGTGGGGGATTGGGGAGGAGGAAATATTACAAGCTCAGTTTTTGAAAGATTGAGTTTAAGGTAGTGATGTGACATCCATGCTGATATGTCGCTTAGTAGATTTGTCATACGTGAGGAGATTGAGCTGGGGAGTGCAGAGATAGATCTGGGTGTCATTAGCATAGAGGTGGTATTGGAAGCCATGGGAGGTTATCAGTTGGCCCAGGGAGGAGGTATACAGAGAGAAAAGGAGGGGCCCGAGAACAGAACCTTGGGGTACCCCAACAGAAAGAGGAAGCGGAGCGGAGGAGGAGGAGTTGTATGTGACACTGAAAGTGCGCTGAGAAAGGTAAGAGAGAACCAGGAGAGAGCAGAGTCACGGAGGCCAATGGAGTGGAGTTTACTGAGGAGGAGCGGGTGGTCGACTGTGTCAAAAGCAGCAGAAAGGTCAGAGTATGAGTATGGAGTAATTGCCGTTGGTTTTAGCAGTTAGTAGGCCATTAGTGAGTTTTAGTAGGGCAGTTTCTGTGGAATGTTTGGGTGGAAGCCAGACTGTTGGGGATCAAGAAGGTTGTTGTCAGTGAGGTAGCAGTTCATACGGTTGTGAACAATGCGCTGGAGAAGCTTGAAGGCAAACGGGAGCAGGGAGATGGGTCTTAAGTTATTCAAACAGGTGGGGTCCAGCGAGGGTTTTTTTGAGGATGGGGGTAACCAATGCATGTTGCGAAACAATGTATGATCTACTAAGGCAGTGGTGGGCAACCTTTTTTTTCAACTGAGCCAAATCTCGCCAAAACCACGATTTAAATTTATTTTGAGAGCCACATTTTTAAAACTGAAAATACATAGGATGGTACACTGTTTTTAGTTTCAATAAGTTTTTATAGTAATTCATCCCCCATAGTAATTCATCCCCCATAGTAATTCATCCCCCATATAGTAATTCATCCCCCATATAGTAATTCATCCCCCATAGTAATTCATCCCCCATATAGTAATTCATCCCCCATATAGTAATTCATCCCCCATAGTAATTCATCCCCCATATAGTAATTAATCCCCCATATAGTAATTCATCCCCCATATAGTAATTCATCCCCCATAGTAATTCATCCCCCATATAGTAATTCATCCCCCATATAGTAATTCATCCCCCATAGTAATTCATCCCCCATAGTAATTCATCCCCCATATAGTAATCCCCCATAGTAATTCATCCCCCATATAGTAATTAATCCCCCATATAGTAATTCATCCCCCATAGTAATTAATCCCCCATAGTAATTCATCCCCCATAGTAATTCATCCTCCATAGTAATTCATCCCCCATATAGTAATTCATCCCCCATAGTAATTCATCCCCCATATAGTAATTCATCCCCCATATAGTAATTCATCCCCCCTATAGTAATTCATCCCCCATATAGTAATTCATCCCCCATATAGTAATTCATCCCCCATAGTAATTCATCCCCCCTATAGTAATTCATCCCCCATAGTAATTCATCCCCCATATTAATTCATCCCTCATATAGTAGTAGTAAGTAAGTAGCAAGTAGTAAGCCAAGTCCCCCCTGTGTCAATTCACTTACCTTTGCTCCACGCGTTCCTCTCGCCGTGTTCCCGCGCCATTCCGATCTTCAGGGCGGACTGTGAGAGGAGCCTAGCTCCTCTCACGTTCATCACGCTGCCCCGCCTACACACATCCTGACAGCCAATCACTGGCTATCAGGATGTGAGTGGCAGCGAGACTGGCCAATCATTGCATTTGAGCGTGCTGCCCTGGCTGTTTTTTTTTTTTTGGATCACGCTGCAGAGTCCCTGCCGCCCGAGAGGAGGGAGGGAGGGGGGAGCGGGCGCCCGGCACACAAGAGCCGCATTAAAGCGTGTAAAGAGCCGCATGTGGCTCGCAAGCCGCGGCTTGCCGACCACTGTACTAAGGGGGTTGTACGTATCATGTAAGTGTCAAGAGTACTTTGCTTGTCCCCTTAATTGTATTGATTTTGCAATAAAAAATCATTGACGCTATGGCCTAGTGTATCCTGTGAGCAGATTGTTTAGTTTTAGTGTTTTTATTAAATAAATCTGATGTAGCTGGTGGGTAATATGGTGGGTTGTTGGACACTGTCTGCGGGGACATTGTACAATGATTTTTTTTTTAAATTGAAAGATGTTTCATGACTTATTGTCATAATAAAGTACAAATGATTTTACTGATATGTGCTTTGAGTTTCTGTGCCTTTAAAGTCCGTTTGCATTCCTTTCCACCTTTTTTTTAACTCCCCCTTTTTTGAGGAGTTCTAGTTAAAGGTTGTAGAAGGAGTTTTCTTTTTGCTCTAGGATGATGCAAAACCCCTGGCCTCTGTCTGAATAGTGCTGATTGGCCCTGTGCTGATCACATGCTTTCTCCCAAGAAATAAAAAACCTTTCTAGCAATCCACACTAAACTGAGCATGTGCAGAATGGCTACGGTTCAGTCTGTCTTATCAGGAGATAAGTGGTGGACATTTGAACAAGAGGAGGGGCAGAGAAGACAGGATCAAAGGTCTTATTACACAATGCCAAGGATTAGCCCCTTAGGTTCCACAGTGAGTATACCAAGCATGCTTAACTGCATATACAGACTGATTTTTACTGTTGTGGGTTTAGTAACACTTTAATATGTTGCAGTGATGTGTGGAGCCAAAATATTTTTTTTTTCTTTCTGTAAAACAGAATTTTAGGCCTCATGCACACAGGGTGTTTTTGCAGGTGCTTTTTAGGAGCATCAGGTTTTTTTTCACTGCCTCCAAATGGCCTTCCATGTTATCCTATGTGTCCATGCACACATAGAATTTTAGAAGCTTTTAATAGCAGTAGCATTTACGAGCAGAAAAAAAAAATCCAGGGTCAGTGCGTTCAGGAGCATCAGCGTTTTGCCAGAAAAAAATGCTTGACCCATGTAAACGTGTCTAAACGCGTGTTAACACTAGGCGCATTTAGCCCTTGAGCATCAATTAATTCCAATGGCCAGAATAAATTATTATTCTGTCCAATGAAATGAATTAATGCACAAGCACTTGATGCTTTTAAATGCATCTAAACGCTTGTAAAAGCGTTAGACACATTGACAAGTGCCAGGTGTTTTTTCTGCCAAAACGCTGCTGCTAAGAGGAGGAGCGTTTTTAAAACGTCTTACCCTTTTCTTGTGTAAAATTACTCCAGCACCCCTCCTCTAACAGAATTGCAATCTTTTTTGTGGGGGGCAAAAATACCATTTTCTTATTTCTGGTGTAGACAAGAATGACCTGAACAGTCATAGACACTCTCCTGGAATAACCACATCACGGGTCCCAGAAGGTCATGGGTGCACTATGGCGCATATACTGCATCATCTGGAAGAAGCAACTGGCCCCACTGATAAAGTCAACAGAAATTGGTAGAGAAGGATAGTGTAAGCTGTGAAGAAAAGGTGAATCTCTAGGCATCACCTCTGGATCGTTAGGTTTGTGAATATGTTTTTGGGGAACAACCTGGCTACACAGATAGGAGGGAAGAGGAAAAAATAGGGATGGGGGGAGATGAATTCCTTATTAATGTAATGTCAGCAGCAGGAGCAAATTGGATCATGCTTTGCTGGGTTATTTTTTGCCTTCCTCTGGATCAACTGTGGGTATAGGATTATAACTTTTTTTCTCTATGGTTGAACTGGATGGACTTTTGTCTTTTTCAGCCAGACTAACTATGTAACTATGTAACAATGTAAGAATGTATGTGTTAGCATGCTGTGACACATTTTAATGCATCTTGCTTTGTTTAACCTCCTTAGCGGTTATCCCGAGTGTAGCTCGGGGTAACATTTGAGTACCAAGAGCGGTAAACCCCGAGCTACACTCGGGCTTACCATGCGGCGTTGCTCAGGGGGTCCCTGCAGCACTTACCTTGTCCTTCGCTCCTGCGATGTGTCCCCTGCAGCATCCCCGGCCATCTCCTCCGGCTGATGCCAGCATCCAACTTCCGTGTTCCGGTCCCTGTGACGTCGGGACGACGGACGGCGGGAAATCTGAAATTTTTAAAAAATGTCATTTTTGCTGTCATTGCTGTTTCAATGCATTTCACATACATTTTGTCCCGAGTGCTTTGTCCTGTGCCCTGCCTGCATTTTGACTGTTCTTTCTTCCTGGAAACTTAGAAAAGTTCATGGCGTCCAAAAAGCGTCCCTTTACGTCAAAAGCGGTTTTTAGAACAGCGATAGTAAATCAGAACCACTTGCAGAATTGAGTGATAATGATTTGTGGGGAAATTCGTCATCAGACACTGAAAACGATTTTGCGACTTTGCTCAGCGATGTACGAATTTGCCTCTGTATTTCAAATTTCAGTGTTTTTGGTTTGATTATATTATTGAATTAAATTTATTATTATATTATTATTTTTTAGGATTATTTTATTAAATTATAATTTATGATTTCGTGTTTCAAGTTTTATCATATCCGGAATGTTTACTAGACTCCTGTTTGGACAGATTTCAGTGAGTTATTCCTAAAAATTACAACCTACAATAAAAAACTACATATTTCCATGCAAAAAAATGGTACCGCTTTCAGCACAAAAAATCGGAAAGAATCATACCGCCCAGGAGGTTAAATGCAGCACATTTAATTTTCACCAACACGATAGTGATCTTATTAGAAGCAATGGATTTGGGCTTGTTATTGCGTTAAGTCTGCAAGGCAACCAACACGTGATGTAAATGGGCCTTCCTTCTAGTGATAACATAGATCGTGAGTCCCTTTGAGGCATAAGCACTGTTATGAATCATTTTCTATACACTGTAGTGTGTTGCTTAATTTTTCAGAGCTCTATAAATGTAGGAAACATCTAAATAAAGCTGACTTTTTTTTAACTGCATGAACGCATGCCATTTTTTTTTACTGGAAAATATTTCATTTAAAGAAAATAGCTGAAGAAAAAGTCAGTACAAAGCCAAAATTAATGTAAAAACATTTCCATGTTGCTCCTTAATATCAATGCTTTAGGCATGGGTCTAGTATGCCTAATGTGTAACAGATTACTCACCACCCATGTCATAAATTTGTGCCAAATCTAGTAAAGTGCAGACACCAGACAGCGATAGATACAGCCCCATCTGCTGTGGGTTGCTGAAGGCCACATCAACATTCTGTGCTGCAGACTTATTATGAAAGGTTTAGTCGCTGTGTATCTGCAAAGCTAAAGTTATACATATCCTAACCGCGCACATTACCCGCTGTCACACATTTTACTCCAGCCCCTGAAATCATTCAATCTCCCACAGCACATGAATTACACAGTGCATTGCACACGCATTAACCACAAATCTTTGCACACATGTGTTTATTTACATACAATCTATTCACCTCCCAACCTCCTGGGATTACTCCAACATAAATTGTGTCTTTACTACAGTTTACTTAAATCTGAGTGCTTTGCAATTAAAGCAATAAATGTTTACGCAGGAATAAATCTGTTTTTAATGAAACTTTCTCCCCGTCAAGTTTTTAAATCAAACCTTGAATTTGCAATTAGAATATACATTTTCTGTCTCACTCTCCAGCTGTTACTGTCACAGATCCCAGAAACGATAGAGAGCTAATCCCTGCAGGCTTCGCAAACCAGGGAGCCGCTAAACACTTGTAGGGCTAAGGTTGGGACATGACGGAATGTGCCAGGATTTCTACTTCTGGGACACAATTAGCAGTGTCCTAAAATACACACAGAATGAATTATTATTATGTATGTTAATACATCTATCTGTATTTTTAGTGCTGGAAACTGGGATGTTATTTTAGGTTGATCCATGGGGAACTACGTGAAAAATTCACCTAGATTTACTGGAATGTACATATTTTTGCATAGCAAACAGGGATGATATCCATGGACCAAGCCCAGTTATGTCAACTGCATAGTTTCTAACTGTCCTACATTTGGACCCTTTGTCCCACTTCCCCCTCAGTTGTCCTTTTTGGGACATATGGGGGAAGTTCAAATATATATTTTTTTCTTGTAAAAGATCATGGAATAATAAGGCATACAACCCATACAAACACCAATTGCAGCATCCCAGGCCCCTTCTTTTCCCCTCTTTCTCATGTCTGTCAATATGGGGGGAGGGGAAGGGGAGGGGAAGCACATTCCAAATTTTGCACATAGGTGGTAACATGAACAAAAGGCCAGCATATCAGTTTAAGTAATATATGCTATGAGAAATGACATGCAAAATGTTATGTGAATAAATGTAAACTTTGACTCTAATTATTTATTTTAATGATATTGCAGAAATCTTCCTCTACTTGTTTTCATGACGAAGTTTGAATGTGAAGCGTGCTGAGAAATGAGACTCCTATGAACACTTATGCAGCTCCCTCCTAAAATAGGCTGCTAGTTAGGTGTTGGAATACAGTGTTCATGTATTTTGTGCAACAACTACATCAATATTCAATGGAAATACTGTTTATTCTTCAACCAGTAGATGGCAGTGTTTATAAATTTTTGATTGTTTATAATAATAAAGTTTCCTATTTTCAGTGAAGCAGCGGAAAAGCACATGTGGATTGTGTACTGTTTGTTTTGTAGGGCTATATACAAAATTTTGAAAAGGGTATGGGCTCTAGTCATAGCCAGCTACAGGAGATAAGTGCAAGATACAGCAAAAGAAATAAGACTGCAATAGAATAAAAGAAAATGGCCAGTAACACAGCTTCAACAACAAAGTTTTCATTTGCAAATCTGACAAACAAGAGCTACCAGTCTTGGAAATTCAAAATGAAAATGCTGCTAATAAGAGAATGTCCATGGAAATGTATAAATTAGGTCAGGTCAGAACACCCTTTAGATGAGTGGATATAGAAAGATCAGAAAGCTCAATCTCTCTTCAATCCCTCTTAGCATAGAAGATGAGCAAATCCTACTTATATGTAAGTGTGAAACTGCTAAAGAAATGTGGTAAGGATTGCAAAAGGTGCATAAAAGAGCTAATCTCAGCAATAAAATGTATTTGATTAAAAAGTTATATCAAACGAAGCTGATGAAAAGCCAGGGTATGCAGGATTACATAAAGCACACCTTGGAAATGGTTGAACACTTGAGAGGTATAGGAGTAGAAATAAAAGATTTTCATATTGCAGCACTATTACTTAGTGGTTTACCAGAAAGTTATGAAACGCTTGTCAAAGCACTTGATGCACGTCCAGATGATGGACAGACATTGGAATATGTTAAGGGAAAGTTTGTGGGATGAATATAAGCGTAAAACAGAAAGCATTAATAGTGACTGTGCTTCTATTGCAGAGTCTGCTTTAAAGACAAAAAATATGAATAAAAACAGTAACATGCAACAAGAAAATGTGAATGCTTTGTGTGCAAGAAACAAGGCCATTTAAAAGCAGATTGCAGGCCAAAAGTTTGAAGGAAGAAACTCAATTTTCTTCAGGATGATGAATATATTTTTCAAATCTAAAGTTTCACCTCATATTTGCAAGCATGGT